GCTTCAGTGGAACCCTGACATCACCTTCCAAAGCCTTTCGCACACCCTCAAAATCAATTGGGGCAGGGACAGCGCACTTGCTTCGGATAGTGTCCTCTTCCTTAGCCTCGGCATCATCCTGAAGATGCGTCGAAAGTTGTAATTTCTTTATGCAGGTTATATGCTTTGTTGATGGGTAACTACAACCTTGTTAGACCCGCTTTGTTACATGCTTTGTTTCGTTCGGACTTACTTAGACCCACGAGTGAAGGGTGCATGAGCGAAAGTTCTTCTCAAGAAGGGCTGCATGAGTGAAGAGATCTTCACGTGTCATTCAAACCTTTAAGTTATCTTCAAAAGCTCTTGGTCGAGTGTCGTTGGAGCAGTCCTTCTTCTCCTTCTTGGGCTCTGCCAGCGGAAGTGGCGATGCATCACCAGCCGAGGCCTCCAAAGAAGACGGTCCATGCGTGGTGTGATTGATATCGCTTGGAGTGAAACAATCGCACATGACCTGTTCGACTCACAGAAACAACAACACATGTTTTTTGGTATTCGCCTTTGAGTCATTTGAGATTTTAGCTAGCACTCACACGAGATGCGATTTGGAGCGCTTTACTGAAAGATGACTTGAACCGCTTTGAAAACACCCTCGCCTCAAAACTTTTGAAGAGCGAAAGCAATCCCAATCATGGCACGTGCACAGCATAGCGCACTTTGGGTTCTGGTGCCCATACTCGGTGTACGCACTGACGCAATGGTAGAGGTAATCATTGAACATTGGATGCCTTGGTTTTTGGCAGACTCATGAATAGAACTTCGGTGAACAATTGGCCTCAGACCCATGCAAACAAATTGAACCCCATGAAGAGAGGAAGGCGTGATATTATATTGCAAACAAATCGAGCCCGCTTAAGAGAGGAAGGCATGATATTATATATTGGTATAGCGGAGCCCTCACCATGTGGGGAAAGCTTGGTAGCGAAGCTTTAGGTATAAGCGAAAGCGTGCCAAACTTGGCCTGAAGTGCCTCAAGTCTGCTTTGCAAAAAGTGTGTTTGTACTCTTCACCAGAGGGGCGGCCGTTGCACCACCACTTGTAAAGCAACTCCACCGGCACAACCATGCGTTCGCGCCTGTCCGCCTCTGAGTAGGCACGATAGGCCGCAGACAGCCAAGCTCCTGGGCGTTGACTGTCAGGCTCTTCGTCCTCCACCATCTGCACATCACTGTCCGACGATGGATCCTCATCCTCTTCAGCACTGCCTGGTATCAAGCCACAGCATGCTGACTGATCTGTGACCGCCCCGTCCTAAAATCACAAGAATAAAAAACAAATAGAACCGGGTGAGCCAACACATACCCAGTTGCCCAAACCTGGAAGCTCCATGGTGGTTTGAGACAAACTCCCATGCTCACGACCGCCATCAGAAGCATCACCATCGCTGTCATCGTCGACAACTGGCGCTGCCTCTTCGTCGCCAGACACTTCGTCATCATCGCCAGGCATATTGCCCTCAATGTCTGAACCTTCGCGATCATCACCATCATCACCACCATCATCAGAGCTAGCCTTGGCGCGCGCAAGTCAAGTCACTGCCCATTGAACACATAGAAGAAAAGCTCCCAAACAATAAAAACACCTGCTGCGCAAACCATGCACTTGACTTTATTGCTAGTAACGGCGCGTGGTCGCTTGTTCGGGGAAGGCCTCAGCATGTTTTTCAGCTCTGATACGCGAGGGTGATTCCCTGCAGGGGAGGATCGCCAAAGCGCTCGCACAGCCCCAACCAACTTCTTCAGCTTGACACCTTCCTCAGCAGCCAGTTGCAGCTTCGACTGGCCGCCGACCAACATCTTCTCCTGGAACAGCTTGTCCAACCTCAAGATGCAATCTGTGAGGAAATAGCCAGACGGAACCTAGAGCTGCGGCAAGGTCAACAGGAAAAAACAAGACAGCGCAAGTTACAAGTCGAACCTGAAATACACATTCAGAAAAAATATTACAAAAGAAATGGAATTGAGGAGCTTTGTCGGGGCTGAACGATATGATGGGTCGAAGCATGTGGAAATTGATTGCAACATCAGCAGCTGAACATCGAGTCAGGGCATTGTCCAATCTCACGATGGCGCCACCTTTCCAATTGCCATCCTGAAGCAAAGTGTGAACACAGGCTGGCAGCTGGTCGAACATGCCACGGGCGACTTCATCAACTTCACGCTCAGTCCACCCAATCTTCCCAGCACCTCAAACTTCCCCATGGGAACTTCCCCAATTGGCTTCACTACAAAAAACCCTACCACCACAAAAGAGCAGCTACACGTGGGGAAACTCTCAAGCGTTTCACAAACAGTTGTTGAGGGACGGCAGCTGCGCCACAAAGACTTCCCGCTATCCTCTGCAGGACGGTCCGGGCGGAACTCCACCAACGCTCCTTCAGGTGCCTCTGGTTCACGCGACTCTGGTCGAGCATCAGCCATGGCTTTGGGGAGGAGCAACTTAAGGCGGGGTCACCGAACTGACAGGAAAGATGCCTCTGGAAGAAGCGAGACTCTTGGCAACTCAGAAGCACGGCCAATCGCACAAAAAACTGAATCCTCACAAATCCTTCCCTGATAAAATATAGAGGGCTTTACAAGTAAGATGCATGGAAAGCTGAAGGCAGAATGCAAACAACTTCTGAGAACCTTCGCGCGCGGATGCGCCTCCAAACGCCCCGTGGAGGACGGGCGACTCTCAAGCAAAATGGGCCACGGTGTGGCAACAAGTCTGTCACACACGCAGCAAAAAAAAACATCTCTGCCTGAACAGTGAACAAAAAACTACATGGCACACTTGATGGGCACCTCTACTCTCTATGGGGCCCAAAAATTTTACGTGCTGCATTTACAACTTCACTGCACCATCAGAAAACTCACCAGTACCGCGACTGGAAAAAACAAAAACACCGCAAACTGCTACAACACTTTGCGCGCAAGACCGACCACGCCACTTATATACAACACCTTGCGTGCACAAACGCTCATTGCCACGCATTAACTTGCAAGTTCTTGCAAATAAAGCTCTCATGGTGGCGCAAATCCATGACCCCACGCTAGCTGTAACCAGTATAGTTCCAAACAACAAGTTTGGCAACAAGGGGCACCTTACGGTGTCGTTGGGAGCAACGTTGTGCAAGATACAAGTTTGGGTCCTCATGGGTGTCCAGAGACTGCAGAAGGGCCTCCGGCACGCGTGGTCGCCGCTGGGGGTCCGGCTCTCCGCAGTGGCCGGCGCAGGGTCCAGAGACTGCAGAAGGGCCTGCGGCGCGCTCTCTCCGCAGTGTCCGGCGCAGTGTTCAGAGACTGCAGAAGGGGCTGCGGCGCGCGTGGTCGCCGCTAGGGGCCCGATACACTGCTGCGAAAAGCATCGAAAACAACGCTGCCTTGCGTTGCAGAACGACTGACGGAGTTCGTTTCTCAAAAGAATTGACACTGACCAAGTTCGTTTCTGACATCGACACTTCTGATGTCTTGTGCTAGCCTCCGCCTTCAGTGTTGCAAATATATACTCACTGTTCGTGCGAGTTGACCGGAGCTCAGGTCCTGCCTGGAGCTCACTCTACATCTCTGCGCGAGAGAAAAAAGCGTGTCTCACCTCTTCTTGCTTTACATCCTGCTAACACTGCCCGCCGTGGTCGGGATGAGATCACTTGATAGCTTTGATGGTCGTTTCGAGTGTGTTACGTTTTGAAGGTCGCATGCGGATCTGATGGCACAATCCACAGCCTCACCCACACACACACACACACACACGCACGCCATCTCACTACACACACACACACACCTCCTCCCTCCCCTCCTTCTCATCCTCGTCCATCACATCATCACTTATACTGCACGTCTGAGCATCACCGCCTCACACTTCCTTCTTGACTTTTCATCTCACTACTCCGTCTCCCAAGTGATGTTCATATACAGTTGAAATTCGTAAAACTTATCATGTGGGGTTATCCGGTCCTTTTATTTTTACTCCGGAACGGTTCTGGGAGGTCATCGGAGGCCTTGCAAGGCATCCATGGAGTCACCGGACGGACCCCCGGTGTTCCAGCACCGGTGCTGTGACCATGCGGAGTCCGATCACACGCTGCGCGACAGACGTCCGTCAGGGTGAAAGACCCAAAGGGGGCACCACCCGTGGTGTTCAGTGCGCTGACCTGGACTCAGTGGGCTGACCTGGACGGATGGAGAACTAAGAACCAGTGTCCACCCTCAACCTGGCACCTGCAACCTGCAGGCACTTGCATGCCATACCCAAACTGGGCCAATGTGACGCTGAAGGTGGGGAAAGACTTGGGTCATGAATCCACTGTCGAAGGTTCCCAGCAAGGTTGGTCCAAGCAAATCCTTCCCACCGGCTGTCTGACAGCCCTCTTCGGTGGTGTATTTGTTCCTCGGTTTCGACCTCCCCGTCGACAACCGGCGAACAACGAACAAAACCACGCCCGTCCTGCGAAAAGAGGGCTGGTCCGACTCAACACATGACGTGCAATACGCTACTTATTTCATCGCCCATTTCATCGCCCATTTCTACCCCACCTGAAAGTCACCACTACCACCACTACCACCACGGGTGCTTTTCATGAGTCACGACTCTGGACCTCCGCCGCCGGCGCGGAGCCGCCGAGCCACACGGGCGATCGACACGTCGCCCGGAACGACGGAGTCGATCGACTCCGTTCGCGCCCGACGGGGCGTCGAGTCGACCTATAGTCGCTCGATCTAGACCCCCAGACACGACCCATGGGCACATGGAACCCCCTTTTCCACCACCCCTGGCCGTTTCTCGGCAGTCCTATGGCAGTCCCAGACAGGTCGTGTCTGCGTACTAAAGACCCCTCCTTTCGGGTAGATACCTCGCAGGCTCCTCACCGACCCGACCGCCGGAGCGACCCCTGAAGCCGAACCCCCCCGCCGCCCGATCGACCAACCCCATCGATCACCACGTCGGGACGCACCGGTCGGGACCCGGACCCTCCAGGGGGCCTGCACCATGCCACTGGCCGCCGCCGGCACCGGCTTCTGGAGCTGTGCCATTGACAGCTCGGAGGGCGCGCTGGCAGCGCCGTAGAGCAGTTGCTCGGTGGTGACCGGGGAGCCCTGGCGCACGAAGATGAAGCCGTGGCTCGGGGTCAAGGTGCGTGAAACTAAACAGGGTGTTTCGGATACCCAAACAAGTAGAGCGTTCATGTGTTTCGTACATGGCCTTGTTGCTGTTTCGTCCTTTATCTGCTGGCCGCATGTGTGTGTGTGTGTGCTGCGAGTTTGGGATGTCCCTGATGTCCCCTGTATTCTGTGATGGGTTGACTCCCTTGCAAGTGGATGAGCTGGAAGCAAACAAACACATCAAACCGCGTTTTTATGCGTGCGTTTTTGAGAAAAGGAAGAGGTGGTCCAAATCCTCTGCAAAATGATGTTTTGGTCCGAATCCTTTGGAGGTCAGTCAATACACTGTCCCGTTCAGTCGAACATGATGCCACCGTTTGAGGCCACTGTCCGTCGAACATGGGGATCGAACGCTCCGACTCCACGTGTTGATGGAAGAAACGAGTCGCATGGAACCAGCTGAGGTGAGTTAAAAACTTTTGATTATATACAGTGAATGAACAGTGAGATTTGATGCATGTTGGGAAATTGTCTTTCCAGAAAATGGGGTTTCTACTGTCTACAACTCCCGTCCAAATGTATCAAGACCCTCCAAGAGCTCGCCACCAGAAACATGTTTGTCTCTTCAGATGTTGGATGATGTGTTTTTTAGTTCGAACCCAGGTGAAAAGGCTACACCCCAGCTCTCTGCGAAACCATTTTTAACCTGCCAGGAGTTCCGCGACGTTTGGAGGAACCACCCCCTTTCAATGCCTGGTGGCAGGGTGGTTCACCCTCTTCTTAGAAGTCCAGTTATACTTTGGGCACCACCGAAGTGTTCACAAAAATTACTGAAGTCATACCCATGTTTTTTAAACATTGGATTCCCCAGGCCTCCAGTCCACCCCGGAATCACGTCCTTCCCAAGACCCTTCCCCTGCCAACTCATAAGCGTATCGTTCGGTCGCTGATAGCCCAGATGAATCCTCTTCCAAAGGAAACCTCCCCCGATCCTGAGCTATAAGAGCTGTTGGATCAGCGCATGAGCAAGACTCAACAGACCCACAGACCTGTGGTCGATGTTCCTTCTATGGTTCGACGATGGGGCTCAAAAAGAACCGATGAGTCGCAAGGTTTCAAGGTGCGTGTTTGTCTCAGACTTCTGGCAAGCCACGTGTGACTTGACTAAGATGGATCTAGAAAGCCACCTTGCGGTAAAGGACAATCGATGAAAAAATCGTCTCCTAAGGGGTTCATGTTCAAGAACCATGTTGTGTCTTCCGGAATCTTCCGGATGCCCATGGTTTCTCGCCTGAAACGTTCGCGCAAACATGTAGATGCAAGAGAGCCAGGTGCCTCCAGACACGCTCCTTGGTTGCGTGATTGCAGCAACTGGTTCCACTGGTTCGGCCAGCCGCTGCGCGGCTTGAAAAAGAACATCCCAACCTCCCTCCAATTCCGACCCCGGTGAAACAAGGACTAATTACAAATTATGTGTTTCCTCATTGGGTTGTTTTTTAAATTACCATAGCCCTTAAGATTGTGAGTTGCTCTGCTTGTGCCTCCGCTTTAGTGCCCTTTGAAGGACCATCCCCCAGCCCGTTGTACAGGGGAAAAATACGAAAAATGTGACCCTGTTGATCTTGGAAATGTCTATATTATATTAATTGAACATCAAATGACTTTGAATATTGAATTCAATATTGAGTGTGGACTTTTGCAGATTTTGAAAGGTCTTATATAAAGTTCTATGAAAAGAAATGGGACACAAACAACGTTTAGTTTAATGTTGGGTGAACTATTGCTGGATATACGGAGTTTCAATATAGAAGTCACATGGTTTTAATTTTTAACTAAAAAATTTCGTTGAAGACTGGGTCTGGCTACCCACCGGGGTTCAAAGTTCCAATTCTTAGATATTCTGGAGTAGGCCGAGCATTGAAGCCTTTAAAATGGAGTTGGTTGGGGACATGCAAACTTCAATGTGTTATTTCGATGCTTTAAAGGGTTTGAGCACTTAAGTTTTGCGTGTTAAACTGAGTGATTGATTTGGCTGCACCTTGGAAATCAATGTTTCAAGTGCCTTAAAAGTTTTTAACAGGCCGAATGTTGAAAACATGTACATAGAAATTTAAATTCGGTTCAATATATGTACATTCTTGAATTTGTACATCCTTAGGTTTTTCTACAACCTGGAATTCCATATTGCCAAAAAGTCGAAACATGCTTGTAAACTGGCGCTAACACACCTTGTTCTATTTTAATCGCTTTTGGTTGAATATGCAACTTTATGTATGCCGGGCCAAATTACAATCGATTTATGTCTGGTTCTGGTTGTCAGCTGGTGGTCGAAACTACCCACATGCGTTGGCATTTGGCCAACCACGCGAGCCAGCCACACCATAGTGTTAGGCCGGAAGAAGTGTCAATAATGAAGGCCTTTCAAGCTTTACCTGTTTAAGCATAGCGTCGATCCGGCATCCAAATACATCCAAATACTACATTCTTTCGCTGGGAGAGGGTCGATGGTGGAGCATCCAATAGAGTCTTCAGCAAGATCCTGCTCGGCTCCCACATGTACAGATGTTCAAGAATACCACGCGCCACAGGGCAAATGGGTGAATTTGAGCTGGTATGTCCAGCCCTCATGCACAAGCTGGACATGTAGACGGAGATCGACGAAAAACAGCCAGTCTTGCAGCATCAGCTGTTGGCCACAAAGCAATGAAAATTTAAGGGGTCCATGGGCCTGCGTGTCCTACGATCGTCTATGGCCCATGCCGAAGAGCATGTGAGCAGGCTTGAGCGTGGCTATTCAAGAACCCTTCCGGTGCGATTGGGCAATGTGACCCTACGTGGTACAAATTGCCCATCGAAACCTTTATGTGGAACCTTGTGGAACGTCGGCGTCGGAGAGGCGGCGGCTGCTACTGCAGTCGTCTTGGGCGTCCTCCACGTCCGCGTGCCCGCAGGACCTGAGCCAGAACGCCCGAAGGTCCTACAGCTCCATCTGATGGAGGGGTTGACCACGGTCGGACCACAACCTCACTTTGGCTGACCAGTACACCTTTTAGGTTCCCAAACGGTGGTTTTGCTGACAGGTACAGGCTCTTGGAGCGCTCAGTACCAGCTGGATTCGGACCACGGTCGGACCACAATCTCACTTTGGCTGACCAGTGCAGCACTTTGCAGATCTACATTCATCATTCATGCTGTTCATTTCCTATGGTATAATCTAGGTATCTAGGTATAGCATCTACAGATATTTTAATTCATTATCGCCTTATCCGAATTTTTGGTCAGATCCAATGTGAAAAGAGAATTTGGTATTTGCTTGCTATTCGATTAATTGTTTTCCTGTAGTCTAATTAAGTATAGCATATACTAATATTTTAACTCTTTATCGCCTTACCCGCATTTTTGGTCAGATCCCATGTGAATGGAGAATTTGGTATTTGTTTGCTATTTGATTAATTGTTCCTGTAGTATAATTAAGTATAGCATATACAAATATGTTAATTCATTATCGCCTTATCCGAATCTTTGGTCAGATCCAATGATTGTTTGTTAGATCCAGTGTGAAAGGAAATTTTGTTAATCATTGCTAATCGTTTAATTATTTTTGGTTAGTTGGTTATACTGGTTACTGATGAGATAGGATTTTACGGACCATGTTTTCGAATACACCCGGACACGACCTAGTCATCAAGAATCCTGGGACACATGAGATGGAAAAGGGTGTGTTCACTGACCCCTCCTTTTTCGGCCTATCTCATGTGTCCGCATTGCCAAGAATGCAGTGAAAAATTGGGGAAACTAAGCTGGATTGTTTTTCTCACATGGACTCAAACAATGCCAAGTAAGCCTTCCAACTCTCCATATCAAACGGTGCTTGTAAACCAAAACCGCAGTCAATCCTGTTTGAAACTCCAGCGCTTTCAAGCGTTTTGTCAGCTGACTATGCTGCAGGATGTCATGCAACCACCTCATTCAGATCCTGTCTCATGTGGCTAGGCAACCTTTAGCGGGCTTAAGGTAAAGATCACAGTGAACGCTCCAATGTGAACTTGTTTTGGGGCCCACAAGTGGCCCCAGACCACATGAGATAGGAAAGTGTATGGTATGGACACTTTTTCCCTATGTTTTGGGCACATGAGATGTGCCAACCTCAACCGGTGCATACGTTTCACTACTCCCATCTCATCAGCATCTAGTATATTTGTTCTATCTTTTGTTTGGTTATTCAATATACTCCTATTACAATTCTTGCATTGAGCAAACAATCATACAACCCCTGCAGCTTGGCAGGCACCACGCGTTATCCAAGAACTTAGTTTTAAAGAGGGCATAGCGGTCAAACTTACAAACCGGTAAAGCCTACGAACATCAACCACAAACAAAATTTCAAGGCCAAACAACCAGAAGGGCTGTCTGGACGCGTGTGCAAGAACCCTGTTACATCTATAGCCAAGCGCGCCGTTGAGCGCAAGCGCAAGCCTCAAGGCCAGACAGCCAGCAGCAGGGCTGTCTGGGCGCGCGCGTGCAAGAACCTTGTTACATCTAGAGCCAAGTGCGCCTTGGGGCGCAAGCGCAAGCCTCAAGGCCAGACAACCAGCAGGGCTGTCTCTGGGCGCGCGCATGGATATGGTGCGGCGATCGCGTCGCAATGACGCGAGCACACGCCACCAAAAAGCAAAACCAAAAAGGACTTAACACAACAAGTCGAATGAAAGAAAACAAACAACCAAGAACGGGAACTGTGTTCACAGCGGAACGCACAACCAAACAACCACTCAGGTTAACATCAGCTGAACTGGATGAGCCCAAAGAAATTAATCTGTTTGCAATTGGCAATTGAGTTAGAGAGTGTAGTTCTCTTATTATTGCATGACGACAACTTGACACACCCCTCGGTCCGCCGCAAGCCCCCTTCAGGGCTCACTTCCCCTCTTCGTCACTTGTGGCGTATTCTGGGCTGGCTGATGAAGAGGGTGTTTCCGGTGCTTTCACCGGTCGCGGCGGCAGCGTTTTGCCTTCTCAAACAATACATTCTTTCAGCCTACTACTCGCAACAGTGCACTTCTTGCCTTGCGAGTGGTCCATTTCACTCCATGAGGTCATTAGGTCTTGCGCCCATTGAAGCTGCGTGCCGAGCGATTCTTGGTTGTGGGGGTACACCTTGTCAAGTGTATTTAAGAAGGCGGCGCTTGCAAGAGGAACCTGCGCACACAATCCTATATATCCACACAGTGAGTAATGCCTTCAACTGGCTCAGCTGGGCAACAATTCCGGCTTTCAATTCTTGGGCCAAATCTAGCCCTGGCTGATCTGTTCACAATCAGAAGCTCAACATGCACGAAAAGTATCTAGTAGAGCATACCATGGTCCCCCTTTGTCAAGTCCATGCAGATCACGACGGCAGCCAATTGCTGGCACAGCTCGTCGAACCTGACATTGCAAAACCAAACGCGCCGCCCACGGCTTCTAACTGCGTCGCAAACCTGCCGATGTCCTTCCTCTTCTGCTTTCCGACACCTGTTCACAACCAATTGGGGGGGGGCGCGATCAGGCTCGAAATGGGGCCCTTACTGAGGCGCACTCTCCACTTCTTCTCATAAAAGAGGAGGCCTCTCTTTTCTTTTCTAGCTACACACCTACCTATGCATGCCATTAATTCAGGAGTGCTAAGTATTCAGTAATTAGTTTCCGACCTTGTTCCGACCTTGTTCAAACACCTACAAGCACACTGACCTGCCACCTTTCCGTTTGTCGAGTCAAGTGCTAGGTATTCAGTAACTAGAGTGCTAAGTATTCAGTAACTAGACCGTGGATGTCGTAACTGATACAGCTCTTGCGAGCCTTGATCTAAGTGTATGGGGGTATTGTTCATGCCCGCGACGGTGTTTCTTGTGCGGGAGGAACGATGGTCCACAGCCAGTGGCTGTGTGTCGGCGGGACATCTACCTGAGTATATTTGGGATACAGGCTCCTCCTGCTTGCGGGTGTTTGTGCACTGGTGAACCAAAATAGAAATTGGTATGTACCAGCAGTCCCAAAGGGGTGCCAAACTTGGAGGTTAGGGGTGCCCAACTGGGTGCCCAGAACATCCACTCACTGGATGGGACGAAACACCACCCCGTCTTGTGGCTCCTGGTATGTACCAATTCTTGCTACAAGATGCAGGCATAACAGCAGAAAGCAAGTGTCACTTGCATATGTGAGAGCTAGTGGCATGGTCTGTGCTCACATGCACTTCCATGCATGTGCGCGCGACACGCGATACCCACATGCGATACATCAAGATTAAGATAAAGGTACTTGGCTTTCACTAGGTGTTCAGATAGCATTGGAAGTAAAGCTCCAAGTGAGATGATTTGGAAAAGTGGTAGCAATCTTTTATGTGTTTTCTAGATTCATTCCCGTGGTTAAAATACAACATTCTGCTTCAACACTTGCCCACGCAGCGACGAATGCTTCGTGCCAGGCACATGTGGGCATGAGGGGTTGATGACTATGGGTTGATATGGTGGCCAAACGCGCGGGGGGCAGGAGACCAACGTCCTTCCCGGCAAAACCCTAGCCCCTCCTAGCCCATGCCCGCCCCGCGCCACCCTAGCCCTCCAGTGGTTGGACGGAAGTGATGGACGGATCCGGACTGATCCGGACTCGTTGGACCGAAGGAACGCGATCGGAACGGGGGGACGGCTGGCCAGGGCCCCCATCACTGAGCCAGTGCTGCCTGGACCTGAAAAAGGGGTGATGTGAACTCAGGAGGTCCCTGATCGTGGGCTGGGGCGCTGCTGTGCGTCGCCAGGTGACCCCGACATGAAGGTGCTGGTTCACTGCTGGTTCACTCGTTCGTTCCCAGGGACACCCGTTCTTCGGTCGAAGTCAAGTATATCAACAGTTCTCTCTTGCAACGCATCACCGCGCATCAGCCTCTGAACCCTCCGAACTCTTTGCGAATATAAGAGCGAACATGGAATTCCTAGCATAATGCCTCACTGCGCAACCACCAGAGTCTGGACCCCCTCATCTTCTCTTGACCAAGATTTTGAGCCTGAAAAATACAGGAGAAAAGATTAGGGTCATTTAGGGTCTATGGGCGCATGTTTGATGAACTCATCCTGTTTTGAGTATATAACAAAAGTTTGATCCAAACTCTTGCCAACGGTTTCCAACAGCATGCTCCAAGTGGCAGCTGAGACAAATTGGCCGAAGTAGCCACTCCAGACATCCGGGGATTCGATAATTGTCCTGATCCTTCCCTTCTCCCCCCTCTTCTCACCCCCAAAGTCGAAGGAAGTCGAAGGAACCCAATGGAATCGATCTTGTCCAGCAGGCCCAGCTGATGCAAGGCACGGTACACGCCCAACTCCTGGGCCGGATCCGACGGGCGACCGCGACGTCCCGCGCTACGCGCGGGAGATCGCGGGGACGACAAGCATAGTACTGGGAGTCCAAGCCTCGCATCTTGATGAATAGAGCCCCCACACGAAGAGCTGTGAAAAATACGAGGTGAAATGGGGAGAAGGTCATCCAGATCCGACCAAAAAGCCTGCATCAAAATAAGGGGGACCTCCCCGTTCTCCCGTTGTTTCACTTCCGCAAAAAGGGTCCATGTTGATCGGACTATCCGTTGGGTCAACCGAGGTCCCCCGCGGTATGCGAACCCATCGAGTCGGAAAAAGGGGTTGGGACCTGAGGTGAAGAATTGACCGCGGATGAGGACCCCCTCTTTTTGGAACCCTGCAACCGGAAGAACAGTATTATACAGTATATATTACCAGTCAGTATAACACCTTGCGGTCATTTTTCCAGTAGCTGAAAGGGAGGGCTTGATTTCAGGGAATGGTCATCCAGTCGGAATGTGAAGCAAAAGATATAGCAAGACACTGTTAGCAAATATCTGCAAGTATTAGCGAAACTAAAGTACAGTATACACGTGTGTGTATACACATCAAGCAGGTCTCATTTCCAAGTGTCGTTCGCATTTGACCTAGGGATCCATGCACCTCCTTTCCTGAGTTTCTGCCTGACGTCTTGATCAACGTGGGCTGCAGACTTTGGTATACCGTGCCATGGTCCAAACCCCGGCATAAGCCATCGGTCCATCGGTGTCTAAATGGGGGCTGGCTTTTAGGAGATCGAGCGATCACATGGCCATCCCATGAATTCTTCATCACCTGTCCAGCACCGGTCGTGCGCTAAAACCCCTCCATCCATGGTGCATAGGCGAAAGCCCTGGAGCCGCCACCGGCCACAGCAAAAGCGGTGCTGATGCTGCCATGCCATGAGGTGTCCTGCGGGCGCCAGGGACCACCCAGGAGCCAGGGACGCTATTCGGGGCTCCGGCCTTACGACGAGGAACAAGAAGCTACTAGGGGCTCCTGGCCAATTGAAAGTCGTGTCAAAAACATGATTCCTTCTGGTTAGAACCATGCAGAACATGTTTGAGTTCCTTTGAACAGCTACTCTCAAGTCAACCAACTCAGATGCTAATTCTCCTTTGTCGGAAGTCATTCCTCACCACGACAGGCCGCATGACATCCCCCGAACACCTTCCTCCAAAATCATCGTGTGTGAGCCCAAACATCCATTAGAACTTCCCAGCTTTTTTCCCAGGACCATCCGACCATCGGGGTGTCCTGGCTGGACTACCGGCCTAATTAGGCTTCCAGACAGGGCACCCCCGATGGTCGGATGGTCCGGGTAGACCATCCCAAGATCGGCAGGCGCCACAGGACAGATCGGTGCCAGGGGATGGTCACTACGTGGGGATCCAAATCCCACAAAGCAAGAGTTTTATGTGGATCTAATATATAAAACATATTAAAACATTATAAAACCCGGATATGAGGAGGTTTTACCAGTACATGGCTTTACCATCCAAAATGGGAGGGGTTCTAAGAAATCAAGAGTCTACGTCTACATCATTGGTGGCCAATCCGGATCGCCGGATGGTGTGTCGCTACCTTTAACCCTGGAACCAACCGTCTCTTTTGGCCCATCCTTCTCACCACCGCGATCGGGACCAAGTCTCACCAAATCACCGGCGAGGTCTCTTCAGGTCGAGAAGGACCTGGAACGCCCCACCACCTCTTTCGCGCACCCGACCTCGGGGCGTGTCCGGCCGTGTTGGTTTGCGACCGGGGTCCCTCGATTCGGCCGGTCCTCGGGACTGGTCACGGACTTCACGGTGGCCTGCAGAGTGCTCTTGGACACCACCGCTTTTCCGCTTCCGCAGCCCATGGGGCGCGCCGCACGCGGCCGCACCGCGGTGGAAGGCGCGGTGGGGGCGCACCGGCGACGCGGTCTCCGTGAGCCGAGGTGATGGTGGCACGGTGGCTCAGACGCTCCGTGAAAACCGGCCTTTTCCCGGACCGAGCTCACCAAACCGGGCTCGGTGAGAAGGTCCGAACCCCGGCCACCGTTCCTGTTCAAGGGTCGACCGGGGCTGGGTGGATGTCCTGTTCGATCCATTTGGAGCTCGGCTCAGGAGTGGCACATCAAAACGAACACAGCCCGCGGCTGTTTCACATGGAGGCAGGAAACAGGCTGAAAAATGCTGAAAACTATAAACTCACTGTTTGCAAACTACAAAAAAGATCTGTCAGTCAAAAGTCAGTGAGTTTTTTGCAAATCAAAACCGGAGGTGTGTTCCAAAACTCTTGAAAGACAGGTTGACCTGGCGTTTACAGGCAAAACATGTTCTAAGATTCTAAAACTGCTCAAACAATGTCTTTCTTTGGGTCAGCATCACGTCAGTGGCTGTCAGGGGTGGGTATCCTAGGGCAACTGGTTGTGAGATGGTTTCCTCACTTCCCTCAGCTGCCAGTGCTTTTGGACGAAGAAGCCGCAAGCAAATCGGTATGGCGTCCATAGGCAGCGCTCCACTTTACAAGGTCGGCTGCAAGTGAATCTTCAAAACTCACAGCCAGGGATGGTCAAAATGACTTTAAAGCTACACGAGGTTTGAGCACAATTGATCTGATATGATCTGATGATGGAGTGTCTGCAGCCACACGTGAAACATCGCCAAACTATTGGTTCTACACCTTCGCCGCAATTCCGGTCATCCCCAACATCAAAAACTACGACGGAATTTCACCGCTTTCTCAGCTCTTATGGCTGTCGACCTCTGCACTGTGCCACGGAGGATGCACGCGCGCTCGCGCGTTCCGCACGAAAGCGGTCGTTCCTCCCTGACGAACCTGGATTTGCTTTGAAATCCACGGTCGTTCCTCACTCGGCCAACACCAAACTCCACCGGGCCGTTTAAACTCGCGGTGTGGACGGTCTGTCTAACACCAACACCGACCGCCAAATGATCGAGTTCGGAAAACCACCCCCAAAACCACCCCAAAACCAGGTGATTGATAAGGTGAACCCCCTATGGGTCGTGGTACAAACCCAATTCCCTAATCTTCAAAGGCTAAGTTTAACTTCGACGTTGTTTCTGTCTATCTTTAACCAGGTTAAACTTCGTCGTTCTGCGGAGTCTGTTCTGTCTAAGACAACTAACATGAGTAAAACTTAGACGCACTGAGGTGTACAAGTTTAACTTCGACGTTTCTCATTGGCTAAGTTAAACTTCGACATTGGAAGTTCTGGGATTGGTATTCTGGCGACCTTCTCGCCACGAGCGTCGCTGAAAAACATCTTTCAGGAGGGACCGTCGCACCAACGGAGTTTCTGACCGAAGGAAGCCCGGGCGTCACTACGCGGCGAACAGCTCTTGGAACAGCGCTGCGTTCGTCTTCACTGAATACTCCGCCTGGGCTGCCAGCAGATTCACCTGAAGCCGCGTCAGCGTCGGTGCGCAGGAGGAAGCCAACATGAAGCTTTGACTGGTCGGGTTTGGACTTGTTATTGTTCTGTTTCTTTCAGGCACAAATGGTTAGGCCCACCCCAGTCATGGGTGTCAAACATCCAGTGGATCGAAGAAAAAACTGCAACCCTCGGCAGGGTCATTCCATCCTGCTAGGACTCCTCCGTCAGTGTGGCAGCTCGCCCCCATCTGTCCGCTCCATTCCCACGGAATGTATTCGCCGCCAGAAAGTGAGCATCTGCCTTTTTGGACTACGCCACCGGCCAGTCAAAGAATTGGAGGACGCCACCGGTCAAGTGAACCCCAAAAAACGGATTGGTGGACTGTTGTCAGTCCTGAAAAACACCCACCGGAGTTGGCGAGGGTTGGTAAGAAACCCAGGGCCCAAAGAATTATGACACCACTAGGGCAGTGCCGCAGGAAGGAAGCAAGAAACAACCCGGGAAATACACAAGACTGGAAACGCCTACATGGTTTCATGGATACCCCATGCAAGGCCGTTGGAAAAAACGACTATCCAAGTCGACCGTTTGCATGTGGTTTCTGTCCATCTTGGCTTCACCGGATTGGTCTGCCACACTGGTCTTCCACCCAAAATCTTCAGGAACTCAATCCAAAGTGTTTCAATATGAACTAAGAAGCTACTAGGAACTAAGGGCATATAGATCTACGTAAGGAGCAAGCTCCCTGACTAGTAGCTCCTATAGCATCGCTAGGAGCGCATCCCCCAGACCGCTATAGCCGATAGCAGTTCATCCCTCCACCGCCGGCCGCCACAGGCAACGCCTGTGGCCAGGTGAGGCCCAGCAGGTCCGTCAGGTTGTTCAGCCTCGACTGTGTGAGGGATCGGCCACGCGGCGGGCACCCGACGGTCCCCGTGAAAAACAGGAGAGAGAGAGAGAGAGAGAAACAAAACAAACACACCTGAGGGAAGTGTATTCGAGTCTGCGCCTTCCACGTCCACCGGCCACATATTCATATATTATGCATATCAGATCAATGGACATGTTATATACGAATGCTGCAAGACTCGGTCGGTCGGAACCCATCCTCTGCTTGCCTCGGAACCTATCCTCAGATCCATGGAGCCTAGCCGTTTGGAGCCCTCCCAACCCGATCGACCAAGACCGCCTTGCGACCGCCTCCAACACCGAGTGAAGCTCCCGGACGTCGTCCAATTCTGCACTTCGTCCACAGGAAGAGTCACCCATCGAATCTTCGTCCAACCCGGTACGAATTCGGCGGTCTATAGGGCTTAGGACCATTGGGGCGCTCGATCATCCATCGAACTCCAATCACCTGAAGCAGTGCCGGGCGCAGGTTCTTAAGCCGGGCATCCCGGAACCGGTCGGAGCCCCCCGTCGTCCCGAAACCCTTCGCACGTCCGCAACCCAGGTCGGCTCCGAACCGGTTCAGAGGGAAACACCGCCTCGGACCGACCAGGCAACACGGTCTTGTAGTACGGAAAGTGGGGAAACGCCCCATCCCACTTCGCCAGCTCTTGCTTCGTGTCCGCCGGCAGAAGATCCTGGAACTCCCGACACACCTGCGGGGTGGGCCGCGGACCTGTCCGTGGCTGATGTCAACGAAGTAACGAGATATCCCTATACCCTGGGAGTCAAAGACAAAAAAAGAATGGTCTTGAAAGGGGACCTGAAAGGGAACTTCCTTTGCTTGAGCCGGTCAAACAATAGTCTTTGGACTTCTATAGGGTATAGAAGTCCAGTTCGAGCAGTTGGCACCATCGAAGTGTTCAGGAAATTCCTGGACTCGGGTGATCCAGTGATTCAATAGTCGACTGTTCTAACCCAGGCAGTCAGAACTCCTTGACCCTCTCCACCATCCTCGACGCATGTATGGTACATATGCCTACATTGACCCCTGAAACCACCCCAACGCGCATAAAACATACCATACATGGATAAATGGATCCGTGGAGTGTTTGGTTGAGCACTTGAGGAGCGTTGCGTGTTCGGTGCAACGTGGGCCCCCAAGGCCTCTTAAGGGCCCCCTTCCAAACTGGAGGATCCTGAAAAAAGACCTGGTTTGTAGTGTGAAACCCTTAAGTAAAACATCCGGACATTGCGCTGATTGGAAGAGTCTGAGGGCTTGGGCATGGCGACTTTTACACCGTGGAGAAAATCATAGAACAACCATGATGTGTTTCTAAAGGCTTCAGTGACCGCACCAGTCTGTCGGATGAGCAGTCCCATCTCTGGCGGACGATCCGTGGTGGACAATGGCAAATGTGTTGGAGTGGCCACTGGTCTCACCAGGCTGCCATGAAGTCATGAAGGCCCTTGGACTGCCATTGTGGCAATGGTTCATAAGAGGCCACCCCTACTCAACTCCTGACATTCCGGACTGAAATGAAGTAAAGAAACATCCAGAAAACCTGAACCTTTCGAAACCGGAAGCACCTCAACCTTCGAATTTGATAGCGGAGGTTTCCCCACCCGCCAGAGTCACGAGAGAAGCGCCTCCAGGACGACAATGATGAGCTCCACTTCACAGTTCCCAGCGATGCCCCACCAATCATTCCTCGCCGATCTCACTGGATCCGGAGACTCGAGACCCCTGTCGTTGATCCCACGAGTCGCTCGAGTCGTGGTCGCAGGGGCGATTAAGGGAGGTTCGGAGACGACGCCCTGTTTGTAGAGAGCTTTGGCCGTCTTTCAATACAGTGCTACAGTATGTGCTATGGCGCCATTCAATTCTTCGCCACTTAGAGAGGTTGAACAGCCCTATATAGCCTATGGCCCAGCCATTATATGTACCACCTTATACCACCTTAGTTCGGGTCCATCCCAGTTCAGATTCACCTCTGACCCTGCACCAGGCTTCGGCAAGACCTGGAGGGTCTTCTTCAGCACCGCGGGCTTTCCAGCATCCACCAGCACCTTCAGCTCCCTTACGATGGGCAACAAGAGCGCTCGATCCTGGGCTCCACCCGCGCCCTGGTGGGCGACCCGGCGACCCGGGTCGAGCCGGGTGCTGCGACGAGGCCCAGGTGTGACTTCGGGAGGTCTGGGAGTGTCCGAACAACGACCAGGTCACGTGGGTCCTGCGGTATGCTTTGTGTTACCTATGCACGTTGACCATGGAATGAGTGGGACATGGCGGGACATGGAAAACACCTGTGGAGAAAGACAGTCCCCTCGTTTTGGTGGCTGCGTTGCTTTTTCCCAGTTTCTCCCATTGGCTCCCCATCCGTCCAAAACAACCCCAAATTCCCCCCGGCTGCGCGGCAAGTTTGAAAATCCCGACCTGGACCTTCATTTCTGGGTGTCCTGTCAGTCCCGGATAGTGGTGGACTGGGGCGAAACCAGCCAGGTGACCCCGACATGAAGGTGGCGCCACTTTCGACGGATTCCTCGAGGGACGATGACTCGTCGCGACTCGTCGCCTTCAGCCAAGGGGCAAAGACCTGATCGTTCTGCCGCAGGCGACCCGTGCCGGGCTTCTCATACCCAAAGAGCACCTCAGGGCGGGCAAAAAAGAAAGACCGCACTGCCGCACTGCTAAATAACATCAATTCAAAAGTGAAAGAGAAGAGAGAGGTATACTGTGAAGTCCGGGTGTTTGTATTCTGTGGATCTCAACGCAGCACCGACTTGACTTGGAGCGCGGGCGACCAGCCTTTTGTCCATGTCCATTGTCCTATCATGTCCTATCTTCTTCCTTAAGGAGCTTCGCCGGCGGAATCACAGTCGGTCCTTCGTGGACTCCCAAGGCACATAGAGCGCGTCGTAGACCCCGGCCACGTCCGGCTTAAAGCTCTCCACCGTCACCGTCGGCCCGTTCACAGCTGCGGCATCCAGCGGCGCGTCGCTGGGCACAATGGACACCTCGAGAGGAGGGTCTTCGAAACCCGAGTCGGTCGGTCCGAATTCATGAAATGCAAAAAGAACAGAACCCTGAAGACATCTGAAAGCTCGGTATAAGTGCACGTGCATGATTACTCTGAAAGCCCTCTTGCTTCTTGATCTTTGCGCTCCCATAAAACCGGACCCCAAGCTGATCGCTGGACATCCACACGCCCTGCGCGTCACACCCCCGCAGAGCTCGTCCCGCCAAGGGCACCAGTCTGGTCGCCTTCCGCTGCAGCTGCGACAGCAGCCCGCTGGTGTCCACACAGCCGCCATCGGCCAGCTCGTACTCCACTGCTGCCTGTGGCATCCTCAAGTGCCGGCAGCGCTGCTATCCCTAGTTGACATCAACAGAATGGATTCGGAAGGTCAACCTACAAGGGCTCCAGGTTTTGAATCACAGCATCTCACAGCCATGAAAAAAGAAAACAGAGGTTGAAGGACCCGAACTAGCCTATCCCAGTTCGGTACCCCAGTCAGGTCCTAGTTCAGGTCACTTAACCTCTCTTGGTACTGCAAACAAAACACATCAGAAACATCATGAGAAACCGCTCTCACAGCTCGGGGGGCTGAGCTGTTCCTCAGCTCAGTATATAACGTACTTCTTGGTACCCAGAGACTGTGCCACCTTGTCGACCGGTCGATCCTGTTCTTGGGAGAAAACACCCCCAGAAAAAGAGAAGCACGTGGTCACGTGAGCAATCAAAGGCACGTGACGCTGTGTGTTTACGTGGCCTCTTCTAAGAAGCAAGGTTCCTTGTGACGCAATGAACACAGACCCATCCCTTTTCTTAGAAGCCCGGCGAGTTCGACGGTTTTGGGGCACCGGAGTGAGACCTGGAAGAAGTTCCTGTCCTGAGACCTTGGCGGGACCTGGCCGAAGTCAGGCGCCTGAATCCGATCGCTGCCGCAACCATGAACCCACCTCAGAAACCTCCCTCCTCCCTCCAAAATGGAGGCGAGTTCGCCATCCTCCGGCATTAAGCATGTAGTAGGCTAGACTCCGCCCGCGTGAGATTGACCTGACCATGTTCTCACTGCGTTCGCTCCTCCTCGCCTTCTCCCCACCGAGGCTCGGAAGCTGCGGAGAGGTGACCGGCCAGTAGAGTTGACCTGCGATCCAACAAGCCCGACCAGGACGGTTCCTTCTGAGAGGTGTCTATAAATAGCCTCTGTCTGAGCTGATGAAGGGGTTGTCCAAAAAACCACCGATCTTGGTTTAAATAGCTTGGCAGGCTATTCCAATTCACAAAAGGGTCACGAGATTCGTCAGTCAGACAGTCAATCAAGAAATTCCTAGACTCCCAGAAAAAAATGATCAAAGCCACCCTGAAACCCTCAGAAACCACGGTGAACGGTGCGGAAGGAATGCCGGCACCCCACGGTCCAGCCCACGAGCAAAAAGGGGTGTGTATCTCAATAGGAAGACCCCGAACCGGGTAGACTGGTCTATTCCCTTCTTCGAACAGGGGGTCGTTGTCCGGTCTCCGAGGTGTCGCTCTCCAAGGTCGCGGACGGACGGTTGACCGAGTCCATGGAATGTCGAACTCGGAGGTGTAAAACATCGAAGTGGAACCGTGGACGAATCCGGATAGAAGAACCGTGGGCTTTTGGGTCAAACCCCGGTTCAACGTGCCGACCATCCGACCATCGGGGTGTCTTCTTTGGCTGGACTACCAGGTCATGCCAGGTCTGCATGCTTCGGGATCGAACACGCCAGGACACCCAGACAGGATGGTGCAGGTGCTTTTGGTTCTCTTTGTGATAGTTAGTGCTTTAATGCGCGTTGTATCGGTGTCAGAGCGGCGTTCAAAACTGAACAGAAGAGCTCAGCACTCCCATCCTGACAAGAACTTGAACCCCAAGACAAACAGCTGAAACTGATCCTCAATTGCCTTGCCATGAGGTTCTCTGCTTCCAAACTAATCACCTGCCTCAGAACCGAGACCAGACCATGTCAGACCTGCACTTCTCCCAAACCTGCCCAGGCCCGTGCCTCTATGTCCCAACCCCTTCCCTTGGCGCGTCCGCCAAGAGGCGGATATTGGCGATGTCCGCCACCAGCTCCGACTCGTTCAAGGCACCGCCGGGGCCCCAACTACCTCGTTCCGGCGCCCGTTCAGGTTGCCGCCGGAGCGTCCGCCATCCAGGTCGGCGCGGCTCTCGGTTCATGCCCCGTAGAAGTCTAGTTCGACTATGCTTTTTTTTGCACCGCCGAAGTAAAGGACATTCGAACATTTGGGCCTACTATGTAGAGCATCTTTCAAACAGTACAGTACTTGGACTTCCAGGGATACGTAAAGCCAGCGCAAGTTCGGCGGACATATCCTTCCAGCCTTGGGATCGTCCAAATGGTCAATGGCGGTCCCGATGCTCCAAACATGTCCAAACCACTGAAAAACTAAAAAAACAACAAAACACTGTTTTTTTTTTAAACACCAAAGGGGCGGTTTTTTTCACCGAAGACGGGTTGCGTGAAACTTCCGTTGGAACGGCACCAGAGTGGAACGGGGCGACCGGCCTGGCCTCTTCGGGTCAGTCTATTGCACGCTCCGCTTGGCTTATAAGCAGGACCGGTGACTTTTAAAAGGAACGGTCAAGCAAGAGTCTTTGAAAGAGGAACGGTAGGCCGGTAGGCTTAAGACTCTTCGTTTCCCAAAAAGTTGAACTCTATAGAACTCTTAATGGGACCCTCGAATAGATGTGATTGTAGATTCAACGAATGAGATCCGGCCCCCGATCAAAAAGTGTGCCCCCCTTCAAGATGTTTTTGACACCTTATCCTTTTCCATGTCCAAATGTCCAAGGGGGGAGGAAGTACAAGCGTCGCCACACAGACCCGGTTGCCTTCCATTCAACCGTTGAAAAAAAAGTGGCTGACCTGGTGTTGTAGTCTAAAATATTGATAAATGAATGGTTCTTCAGCAAAAACTGCAAAGATCATTCTAACTCATTATAATGGTGGTGCGAATCCGAGGGTGCACCTTCAACCTTGAATCACATGTACCAGGACCATGACCTGCACCCCGCCAACATCGATCTTTGTGCTTCAGTAAACAATCCATCACGCTCACAGGTGCGACATGGTCAGCAAACGGCCCAAATCGGCTTCCCTGCCCCAAAGCCACCCGGTCCTGGGTCCCGACGTCCACGCGTCGAGCCCACCCCACGCCGGCGACCCGTTCGTGGGCAGCGACTGATCCCCGCAGCGCAGGGCAGCGAGAAGGGCCGCGCCGGCGCGCCCACGGCGACGTCTGCGGATTGGTTGGGGCGCGGACGTGTTGGGCGGTGGAAGTTCGGTACAACGGATCCCTTCCGGGGAGGTGAACGGTGAAATCATGTGAGGATGAAAAGAATGCCGCCTGCGAGTCAGAATCCACCACTACCATACCTGGACCCTCCAACAAGTGTTTCCTGGTGACAACAGGTGCCCAGAAACCACCTGTTAGTGTCTTCAGAGGGTACTGGTATAGGGTGCGAGTCATAATTCACTACCAATCACTACCTCATACCCTCATACCATGGCCTATATGGGTCAAATGAGTCACTTCTAGGGAGTGTAGCTAGCTCGAGGACCGCCTCGGTCGAGTGCCGCGCGACGGGGCGGTCGTTCTGCAACGACCGGGGGGTGTGCGGTGTCCGGAAGGATGGTGCGGAGTCCCCAAGGTCAGGTCATCAGAGACCCTCGGACGCAGGTCAGCGGGTCATGGATCGGTCATGGAGGGTCTAACTAAGAAGCCTTTATCGATTGCTGGGTGTGGCAGATTGTGGCAGCTGTGGCTGTGAAACCACTCCATCGAAGTTCAGTAATGACCCATCTTACATCATCTTACCCCCATACAAGTGGTGGATCATGATTACATTTCCCGACTAGGCGGAGTTCATGAATCAAAACGGAAGTTCGGGGACAGTAGGCCTGTAGGAGTTTTCAGTGATTTACTGGGAAATGGAGACTCTTGATGCACCCCTTTTATGAGGGGGTTTTGCCATCCATGTCCTGCGGGTGATTCATGAATCAAGCGCCTACTGGGTAGACCCTCCATCTCCGGTCACCATCCCCCCAAGAAAAAAACCTCCCTCTCTCTCTCTCTCGCACGCCTGTGCCGCCCTTTTGCTCAGAGCCTTTGGTGGGCGCCGTGCCCCCGAAGGCGAAGGACTCCACAAAGCCTCCTCCCACCTGCAGATCTTCCAGGATGGGGGCGGGCGGAAAGTCCGTCCATGGAGACCCACGGGGTTCCCGGGCTCCGGCTGCAGAACGGAGCCGGCATCGATTCCAGGGACATCCGCAGCTCGTGGGACTCGGACCACCGGACCGACTTCCGATGCCAAGTCTCCTCAGGTTCCTAGGTCAAGTCTGCACAGACCCCCCAGCAAAACTCAAGCCGCTACAGGACATCGGTTTCTGAGGGTTTCTGGACATACACCCAAGCCATTTTGCAATAAACAACAAATTGGTTGACTTTGACCTCTCTGCCCCTGGACGTAAAAATATTGAACTCAAATTGTTGGTGGGCTTCCAAATGGAGATGCAAGGGGTTCTGGCATGCCAAGCTCATCCACTGTGGGGAAGAAGGGTCCTCTTCAGGACACTCCTGGTCTTCCTTTCTTTCGCTCCCACAGAGCTCCGTTTTTCACCGCCATTCTCTTCGAACAAAACCAGAAACACCCTGAAACACCCTCCGCTTTTGGCCGAGGAGCTGTCCGCATGGTCTTGCAGGACTGGTAGCAGCAGGCATCACAGGGGCATAGAGGTGCCTCCCAGGAAAGCTAGATAAACGGATGGATCGGCAGGGGATGGCAGCTCTTAAAGGGAACGGCAGGTACCAGAAGAGGTCCCGGACTTGAGGTTACTTATCTTGGATATCAGATCTCACAGAGATCAAAAGAAATGCAGAGTTTCAAAGTTTTCTGGCACTCATTCCTGGCTGCGCTGATTTTGGGCATCATAAGAATCTATGAGGAGTGAGCTGGAAGCATTGAGGTCATCAATTGAGTGTACCTTCGTTGCCCGCGTTACCATCCCGAAAGCAGTTTGTGCCCCCGAGCAATGACAAAATTCAGGAGTACTTGAATTTCCTGCCATGACAACATGATGAGTGGGGGGGTGACTCTTGGTGAGTGTCGGACATGTGAAAACCCATGGGTGCAATTTGGTTGATGATGAAGAGACTTGCCGCTATGACAAAAAAGTCATTGGAGAACGCATACCTGAAGAGAGAAGAAATGACCCTGCTGACTCATCTTGAAGACCTCAAGTTTAGGGAATTCTTATGAATTCTTCACTATTTCACTATGAATGCATCATTTAGGCAGAATGACTGTTCCTTCTAATATAATAAAACACGAAGAACAGACTACCACTGGAGGATATTTGGCTTTCATGCGCCCGATGAAGGGGTCCTGCTATGACTAGATCCCTATTCATTCGGATTGGAGATACGTTTTCAGAGACCTGACGGGGACCCCAACAGGCGGCACCGGGCCGTTCAACCCCGGTGCAAGCCATTCAGGACATCGGTTCTTCCCATCATGATGTAAAGAAATGGTCTTCACCTGCATTCTGCAGCTACTCAGTGCTGGATCAGCAAACCCCCCCAAAAAAAAAAGTCGACCCCCAATGCCATCTCCCTGCCTCCCCAAAACCAAAAAAGAACAAAAACATCTGCCTTCTGGTAGTCCACCTGCGTATTCTTCGGATAGAAGGGGCTGCCCACATAGTCTGCCGACATCTGAAAGACCACGGCGTTCGCCTTGGTCGCCAGGCGATCCACCGGCGCCAGCGCCGCGCCACACATCACCAGCGCCTCTGAAGAGGCGCGAGGACGGGGGGGACCCGTTTGGACCCCACCGATCTCCCACACCTTCAATGAAGACGGGTGACCCGTTTGGATTCGAACCAACCGTTGTTTTTACGGATCATCGGATATTCTTTCATATGGATCATTCATACCTGGAGCTTCATTTCTGGGTGTCCTGTGTGGAGACCCCGGATAGTAGTTCAGGGGCTTCCAGCCAGGTGACCCCTTTGAAGGTGTTGGGTATGAAAATCATACCTGGACCTTCAAAGTATGTCGGGGTGTGAAAAAATGCAGATCCACAGTACTCGTGCTTGTGTAGGGTACTCCGGCCAGGAGACCCTGGTTTTGGAAGGTGCTGGTATACTTCTTCACCATCAAACATCAATGCTGATGATTAGTATACTTCAGGTGTATGGACTTTTTAAAGGATTGTTCTCAACTCACGTCCCTTCATGATCCCTGCCACACAAAAAAAGCAAAAAGACCTGTTGGAGGGTGCTGAGACGGGTCCATGTTTCGCCGCTCCTCGACCGAACGTCCGGTCCGACCAGGCACCAGATGGTTCCCCCAAGCTGCTCAGCAGGCACCCACTTGTGTTTGTTCCCACTCAAGACTCTTGCATGGCTCAATTCTCACGTGATATAAATCAGGCTTTGTCCCAAAATTGCATTGATTCACTAGGAGGTTTGGAGGAGGGGGCAGCTGTTTTTCCCCCACCTCACAGGTCCTTCCTCCCACCATCTCCTCTGTTTCCCACCATCTCCGCCTGCCGCCGGTCGGGCCGCGGCGTGAGGAAGCTCTTCGGCTCCAAGGAGGGATTCCGCGCCGTGATGCGCGCGACGTGCGCCTCGTCCTGCGCCAGGCAACGGTCCAAGCTGCCCAGCTCGTCGAAGTGGCCTTAGGGCGCGCGGGACGCACGAACCGCGCGGTGGGGACCGAAACCAAGTTCGGTGGTTTTTTTGGACGCTCCGAATCACCTCTAAGAGGCTATTTATAGATATTAGACTCTATCAGACACCCTTCAGTCCATTCATGGATGGCTCTGGGATCTCGGCAAAGTCAACCCTTTGGCAAGATCAAGGAAGTGAAGCGGCGTCCCCGTATTCCCTGGTCGGTGAATGGACACCCCTTTTTGGGGGTCTTGGAATAGATTTGTGCCAATTTCAACTCCAGGCTCCAGTGAAACGAGTCGGTTTCACCCTTTCATCGGGTTGCCTTCTGGGTTTCTGGAGGAGTGTGGGGGCTGCCCCTGTCACATCCACTCTCTGCATAGGTCGAACATCCACCCAAAATGCCTGGAACTCCAGGATGACTGTCTCGCGATGTTCCGGAAAGTGCGCCACTTGATGGACTTGCCCCTGACTTTGCCACAAGGACCGTTTTTTGCATACCCTTTTCCTTTACAGGCCGCAGATTTGGAAAGATTTGGCTTGGAACCTTCACCCACCTGGTTTCTCTCCAACTCCATTCCTGGCCCAACCACCGATGCTCGGAACTCCAAGACCAGGTCTTCCCGAACTCTTGGAGTTTTGGTCGAACGGGATGTCTATATATCAGGGGGGGCCCTGTTTTGGGGTCAAATGGATACCCCATGATACCCCAAATCACCTCGAAAGGAGCTATCATTAGACACCCCATATGGCGCCCCCAGGGGCCCAAGGTATTAGACACCCTCGTTTCCGAACCCTTCGACCGCGTCGGAACCGCCCCCGGCGTCGCAGCGTCACGCGTCGCGCGTCGAGCGACGCAGGAGCCAACGTGACATCACCTGGGGCCAGACCTCGCCGGAGACGACCGGCGGACCCGGCGGAACCGCTGAGGGGAACAACCCCCGATAAACCGGGGTCGTTCCGGCGGTTCCATGGGAGATCCGGCACAGACGGAAGGCACACAAGAAATGGGGCACCTGAGAGATTCTGGGATTTTTGTTGACTGGTTTTTGATATATTTCCCCAAACAGTGTTGGACACACTGTTTAGGGGTTCTTATGGTTCTTGCGGTAGGTGTTAAGCACCGGGGCCAAAACAGAAGGCCCAACGACTGTCAGGTGTGGATTGGACCTAATTGGGGTGTGTTGTGCGGAGATCCTGTCGTCCATGGGAGCTCCGATCGGATGGTCCGGGGAGGATTGTATTGGTGGGTTGGTTGGTGCTATTTTTGAGAGAAAGCGAGACGAAGGAAGGAAGGGAAGGGAAGGGAAGGGAAGGGAAGGGAAGGTCCCCCAAAGATCAAACTGCCCAGGCCGACTCCGGACCCCTAGAAATTGGAAAGGTTTTGGTTCAGGTTGAGAGGTTCGCGACTGCGCGATTGGGTATGTATGGGTGGTGGAAATCCTCCATGTCCATCTCCAAGCAATATGAAACCCTATAAGCAGGACCTTCCTTCTGAGGTATCCATGAATCGCCTCTGTCTGAGGTGGAGTGTCCAAGAACCGAACTTGGTTTCGGTCCTGGTAGTAGTCCATTCGCTCAGTCGTCAGACCGAATTGTTCAACTAGGTCGTGCCATCGGATCTTTTCAGGCGACCCATGTCTAACCGTCCCTTCTTTGGTCCCATCAAGCAACCTGTCACCTACCCAACCTATATAGCCCTGGCTGAGCTAACCATCCCCCAAAGCTAGCTGACCCAACCCATCTGTGCACTGTGCAGAAGAAGATCGGACGGCTCCAACAACCTCTCAGATTGGTCATCGCTGCTCAAGAACGTCGGTCCGTTGGACCCATCAATGAAAAACCAACAGTGAAAAAAGTGCACCGAAAATACACTCTCCATAAGAATCCGAACGGGCCCGACATCTTCGCAGGGGTCGGACCCGACATCGAAGATTCTTAGAGGTCCAGACGACCCTCCAAACGTGTTTGAGGGCCCAGATTTTTAGTGGCTGGAAAAAAAAATTGAATTCATGGGGATTCGCTTTTCCACGCTTATTGGGCTCACCGATGTAGCAAAGGAAATGTCGCAGAGGAAATCATGAAGTCTACATGTGCTGTCCTAAAACTCTTTTGCCAATCCATCCGAAGGTCCGAAGGTCCATACTGCTCCAAAAGTCCCACATCTCACCGAACCTTTGGCCTAAACCGTAAACCCGAAGAAACAACTCCAAAACCGAATCCACGATCCACGATCCGCGCTAACTGCGTGGAGGAGAGCCTCGCCTCCCACTCGCGTCCGACGTACTGGACAGCCAACTCCGCCAAGATCTTGTCGGAGTCGCCCTGGCCGAGCTCGCTCGTCACCGAGTCGATGGGAGGGGCCGCGGGTGGTCCGCTCTGCAGAGCGGGGGCGGGAAAGAGAGCTGATTCCATTGATTAATCCCTATGAAAATTACATGCGTGCGTGCAGCCTGTAGCTATCTATACCTAGAAGCACCTGGGGCAAAAATGCTTGCCTCAGTCCGATTTGCCCGGAAAGATTCGCGGATTTAGGGAAATCCACGCCAGGTAGGAATTTCCGCGGCCAGGAGCGACTCCGTTGTTCCTCTTGAGAGGAATCGTCTGGCCCTCGACATGATATCCCCGTTTTTCCAACCAGTCTCCAACTGTCGTGGGGCCGCAGGTTGAAGGAATGCCCAAGCCCGGAAGGTCTTGTCTTTATCCTCCAAGCCAAGGATGCCAAGATAAGCACCACCTCCTCTGCGAAAAGCCAAAGGTTTACCATTGGCCTCAAGAAGGGCACGTTGGTATACGAAGGCTAACCAAGTCAGTAGGGCATGCTGCCTTGATTGGCTTCTGAACAGTCCATGTCGGGCTTGAGCCATCCAGAGCCAAGACTCGTGTCTTCAGCTGAGCCAGGTTGTTGGCCAGAGGCAAATGGTCCAAGATCTCATTCTCAAAGGCGATGGCCTAATGACCGGAAACAACAAAATCAACTTCGACTGAACCTGATGTGCTTCACAAAGGGCTTTCAACTGTTGTGCCAAATCTTCACTGGTCACTGAAACTTCTCCTGGTGGAGCCTTGCCTTCTTCAAGAGAGTTCATCGCTGACTGCTAAGCCACGATATTTGCCCCCGCAAATCTGCCAACTAAGTCATCGAGGCAATGCTTTCTGGTCTTCCTGGAACAAGCTCTTACATCCACCTTTGCCCTTTTTGGACTGCTCAACAACCTCTTGATAGAAAGATTGTTGCTTGGACATGTCGTTCATGGAGTCTTTCAACGGCTGAACTCGCTTAGCAAGTTTCTCCCGATCTCCTCTGCAATCACGGTCGTGGGAGAGCTCTTGAAGGAAAGAGCTTTCTCAAGAGTCCACTCGATATCCTCGATGATCGAGGTGTCAAGGTTGTCAGCCTGTTCCAAAATGTTTCAAGGCGCAGCATCAAGACCTTTGTCAATCTCTTACGAGCTGTGAAACCATCACCACAGCCCAACACCGACCAGGTTGTGTTTTCCATGGTTGCATACCACATATCGTTCTGCAAGGACATATATAGTTTCACATCTCAAGATCTGACACCCTACGATTTTGACACTTCTTAATTCATGACATTCACAAAAGAAGCTGCAACTTTTGTTGAAGCCCTTCCAAGGCACTGTTTTTGAATCCTGCCTTGTGCCAGGAAATTTCCGCCGTTGTCCCGGGTACTTCCGCCTTTTTCCCGGGTATTTCCACAACTTTCCCGTGTATTTCCACTGCTTTCCCGTGAATTTCCGCCTTTTTCCCGGACATTTTCGCGCCAGGTGTTTTCAACTTTGGACTGGTTTTACTCCATATGTGCTCATTCCGCACAAGGAACCTTCAAAAGCAGACACATATATGATATGATGGTATTCAACTCCTCTAGAATATATAATCCTTGTCTGACTAGATTCCTGAAAGGGAAAATTCGCGGCAACAAAAACATTTCCGCGGCAAAAAGTTGATTTCCGCCCCAGGACGGGAAGAGCCGCTCTTCCCGAAAAAGGCAAGAATTTCTGCCGAAAGGATCTTCTAGGTATATAGGACTTCGATGATTCATGCAAAAAAAGAGACCATGAAGAAGGCAAGGCCATTCGCATCCTCTGCCAGTTTATCACAAAGGATTGGAAAGAAACTCCTCCCAGTATCATCTCCAAAGATTCCAGGTCTCTCTGAAACCAAAGGCCCCCCATATCGTCCCAAATTCACACGCGTACCCTCGCTTCAACAAACATGGAAGTGGATCCGGAGTAGTTCACCCCGCGTTTGGTCTTCGGAAAGTTGTCTTTCCAGGCGGGCATGACATCCACATAGCCATGATTGTTTCATGGAGTGTATAATATACGTACTTTAGATGACTTTAGGGCTTCCACGATCCATCCCCAATGTAGACTCTTGATATCTCTTGATGATAAAACCCACCGAAAGAAATGGGTGAAAAAAACAAAAAAAACAAACTCTTGATACCAGTATGGGGTGGGTTATGAAGTTATGAATCAAGAGTCCGACGTTCCTCTCATCCCATCCCACCCTCCTCATCCATCCCACCACCTCCCACCTCCGCCAAACCCGAGGCGATGGCCGGCTGCAGCTCCTGCAACTTGGACATCGACAGCTCCTCCGCGCGCGTGGGCGGCGCCGTGGCCCCCAGCAGCTGCGCGCTGCTCACGGGGGAGCCCTGCGGGCTGCTCACGTGGCGCACGCAGCGGACGGGATGAGGTGCCAGGGATCGAAACTGAGCGGGTGCCGGCAGATTTGGAAGAGGCGTTGGCCAGCGCTGCGCCACCTTCTTCTCTATTTACACCTGGGTAGCATGCGTTGGGCGCCAATCGGAGGAAGGACCCATGCGCTCTCGCACATCGCCCGCGGCGCGGGGGTTCCCCCAGCGAGACAGGTCACCGAGACGGGTGGATGAGAGATCGTCGCCTCGCCACCTTCAGACGCGGCGCACGCGTTCGCCACCGGGCTCCAAACGGTGAGGGGTTGGCATTTCGGCTGCAGCAAGGGTTGTAGTGACTATAGTGACCATAGGGACTAGTGACTAGTGGACTTGAAGAAGTCCCACGCCTCAAGAGACCCATGTTTTCCTTGGTCACTTCTCATTCCAATTGGCCCCTTCAGGTCTTTTTCACCCAGCCCAAAGCCTAATGACCAGCTGGCACAAGTTCGACACCTCCTCGCCCACCGGGGACAAATATGATCCTGAATGTGATGTCTATGATGATGAAGGATGATACTTGGACTAGACAGTGGAAGTTGGTAGCCGTTCTTGAAGGAGAACCCTTCGCAGGTGCTTTCGAACAAATAAGACACCAAAACAAAACACATTCAACTCCCTCCCCTCCCAACAAAAAAGACGCATTCCCACACGGTCAGTTTTCACATCTCACGGATCACGCCGTGACTCTTTTTCAGGGGCACCTTGAAGGTTTTCGCGAAGACATAGATGCAGGAGAGCCAGGTCCCCCCAGAGACGCTCGCAATGCCATCGATCTTGTCCAGCAAATTGAGATCGCCTGGCGAGTTGGTGCTGCTTTCGGGTGCCCTGCACATCGTCTGGCTGGTCAAAGCCCCAAAACACCCTCCCGAGCCTTCCTACGGCCATTCTACAAATGGGTGACCTGGAGCCCTGCAGTCTAACCCAAGCTAGTAAAATAAATGGGTGAGTAGATGGAAGGCGCCAACCATGGAGAAAAAAAAACACGTCCTTTTACGCTCCTCGATCTCGAGAGGAGCCGGTATACGACCGACCGATGGGGCCAGGGGAAGTCCATGCCTTTGAGGCATGGAGCTACTAGCCCCTACAAATCCGGTCAGACCACCGAACCGACCCGGTTCGGTGCGACTGGGCCCGACCGTTTTGGCGCCTACAGAACCGGTTCGTGTCGAACACATCACCGTACCTGAGAAGGTACTTGGATCCCTAGGGTAGTAGCGTCCTTACCCCGGGTGTCAAACAAAGGCTGTAAAAACGGTCCCGAGACATCCAGAGACCAGCCACGTCTCTCCGAAGAAGAATTCGTGGCCTTGTGCCGTGGTTTCAATCGTCTACAGTGAGGGTTAAGGACAGATTCAAACATGCCAGTCCCATGGAGTGTCTGGGAATCTTTGACTGGGCCTTTTGACCCAGCTGGGTCCAGGGTCCGGCCCTGGACCCTGGGTCACTCTTCCCATCCACAGGTCTTCCAGAAGGCGGAGTTCGGTCCCAAGAGGTCCTTCAGAAGTCCACCATCACTGGAGTCCACCATGTCCTTGCTTTCTTCCCATCGCTTCTCTACCACCTTGCAAGGTCGTTCGTGTTCGGACCCTGATCAGGTGTTTGGACACCCAACTTGTCAGCAGGAAGCACCAGATCAATCTTAGAGGCTCCATGTACAAGTAAGGCAAGGAAGGCAAGGAAAACCAAAGCACTCAGAGTGGCCGAATTCATTGAAGATTGCTAACTGCATTCCAATCCAACTCATCACAAATAGAGCGAGGCCTTCTGGGGATGTTCAAAAAAGAACTCCCAAAAATGAAACCCAACTGAAATTATCTGAGGAGGTACATTGCACCTCCCCCCACCCCCCCCAAAAAAAAAGGAATCTCTGAATCTCTCACCCCCCCTTGTTGGAAGGCAGGTCGCTCAAGGCACGAAAGACACCCAAGCTGTAGGAGAAGGCTCGCGCTCCACCCCCAGCGACACACAGCGCGTAGGTGATGGGAGGATGCCACGAAGTATCCTCCGCTTGCGAAAAACAAGCACTCGATGTACCAAGCACTCGGCTTGGTGGAGTCGAAAGCATCTTTCATCCGAGGCGGTTTCGACCATTTTAGATCAAGACTAGCTGCTCTTTGGCTGCGGAGGCTTATGCCGTTTCTTTCATCCAGGTTCGCTTGCAGCACTTCTGGTTAGTGGAGTTCGGAAGTCTGGCGCCCACCTGGACACCTCTTGGCCGACCAATCCAACAACCCACTTACTGCCACATTACACCCTGGAAGACTAACATGGACCCTGAAAACCACTGTCAGGGTCCATGTTAGTTTTTGGATGTTTTCGGGAGTGTAGATACTCACTACTCATCTGACGGCCCGGCCGAAACCGGCGAAAGCCAGTGGTTTCGACCAGTCTTCCAGTCAGGAGAAGGTGCTTCAGTCAAGACGTCACCCAACTGATGGCTCAGTATTAGGCTCTGTGGCGGGTCTGGGCTCAGCGAGCTGGTGTGACTCGTGCACTCGGTCGAGCTCCGTCTCAGCTCCAACTTCTCTTTCGGGGGCCCCACCTGCCAAAAATGGATCAAGATGGGTCAAGATGGGTCCACTGTTCAACATCGGACCAGGTGCCGGAAGCCTCGTCCCCTGAGAAGAGGGCAGAAAACGTCCAAGACTCCACCGGAAAACGACGAGATGGGGGAGCTCAGTTCCTTTTCCGAACATCGTTGCTTTCGCCTCCATGGTGCCATCGTCACCCCACAAGAAGCAAGAATCAAGGCCAGTCCACCCATCCTTAACCTAAACATCCCTATCCGGCCTCCACCCACCCACCCGCGACGGCTGTCCTTTGGATCATGCACCGCCTTCACCGACGCCAGCAGCGTGGGTCCCGTCGAGCTATGGCTTCCGCCCGCGCCCATGGCGCCCGAAAGCGTCCGTGTGGGGTGCCCAGTGGATGGCGGGGGACCTGCGTGGATGGCAAGGAAAGGCTGTGGGGTGTGGTCGACTTGGGGAATGCAAGAATGGAAGTCACCTCACAATGGCACTATATGTGGGAGTTTCTTTGAGTTTCACTCTGAACAATCTCTGAACTATCTATATAGATCTGGCTGCAGAATCTGGCTAAGTTGATGGGTTGACTTCAGGTTCGCTTCCATTTCTTTGTCAGCTGCATCTCCCCTGAACAGGAAGAAGGAAACTCGCGAAGCTTTGCACATAGGGTCCAGGTATCTCCTTTTCAATGATCGGATGAGGTGAAAGCACTTCCAGAGAAGGGTCTTGTAAAGGAAACCACGGCTCGTTGTACCTCCTGAGTAGTTTTCATCCAAAAATCATGCAATTGGATGCAATTGGTGTATTTCATCAGCCGAACTGCAGAACTGTCATATGGCATGAGGGGGCATGAAACATTCCAAACAAGCAGTGGGCTCGAGTTCAGCCGATCCCACACGTTTCCTTCGGGATATCCGACCTCCGTGGATGTTTGTATGGATGGATCACGGGCGCATGTGTGCGCCCGTGGGGTGGAGGTACGGCGTTGGGTGGCACCCGATCCTCCAAAGAGGAACCTGAGACCAGCACCCGATCAAAGGGTCGCCTAATTGAGACCTCCCATTTGGGGCCGGGCCCTTTTTTTACCATAGATTGTTCGGAGACCTGTGAAGTCGGGTGGTAGTTTGTGGAGTGCTGGAACCAGACGCTTCCAGCACCGGGTTTGACAACGCATCCCCACCACCCGTGAAGGCATCCGAGGGGTGTGCATGGTGAGTGGAGGTCTTCTTTCAAGCCCCACAATCCATGTCTGGAACTCGCAGTCCTGACTCCCGATCAGTTGGAGTGGTTGCTTTCAAGGGTCATAATAGCGATGGCCTCCACCTAGCTTCTTGTTACTAGTAGGCGATGGCCTCCATTCCAGTTTTGGCCGTGTCGCTCTAGTTCTGTGTTTGATTCTGGAGAGACCACGTGCGTTCTCTTTCAAGCCCGAATTCGGACATCACACCCTCTTTGTTCAAGCTCTTTGAATCCGCAAGTCTTCGGCACAAAGACCGTGAAGAGAAGTTTCCCCAAGTGCCTTTCGATGTCCAAGAGCCCCGTTTTCCACCAAAAAGCCCTCCTCCCTTTCAAACCGACTTTGTTCGGACTGCTGCGGCTGACGATTTCATAGGGACGATTTCGATTGAGATTCCCAAGAGAGATTCCTGCAGACTATCCTGCAACTCTCCACCACCGTGTCCCGGTGACTTCTATGAAGCAAACCCGACCGACTTCGCGGGACATCAACCAACACATGAAGCCTATCAACCAGCGACTCTTCAGTGATCCCTCCTCACGCATCAAATACCAGGTGACGCCTGACTAGGTGACGCCTGACTCCTCACGAGGAGCTCTGCCTCTCCAGTTTCGGGAGCTCCGCCTCTTTTCTTCGGCTCCAGCACCCGGCCGCTTCGCTCCTCTGGCGACAGTCCGCAGGGTCCGCCCACGCCACCGGAGAACGTGTGTGTGTGTGTCCTTCGAACGTGGATCAACGGCGAGAGGACCCAGGGGTGTGCAGTGGCCCCACTCCAAATAGGCCGACCGGTCTTTCAGAACCTTAAGGGATTGGTTCGGGTTGACCCGCTCCGGATTCGGAGAAAAGCCCCGACACTGAAGGGAGGGTCCATCATGAGGTAACCAGGTAGGTAGGTAGTTTTCATGGACACTGTCCATCACCGCTTTGGGCTAATGACTGATTCGACACCGATTCGACCTCCTGGGGCTGTGGATCTTCATTCCTCCGTCCGCTATTCGGGCATATTCGGGCCCTGCCCCCAACAGACCCTGAATGACCTTGAGTTTGACCACCACCCACGCAGTTCTGTCAAATGGGCTCAAACGGTCAATCTAATCGGTGGCGAGGCTCGAAACCTGCCCATCTAGACGTTCAAACGTGGCTATCCCAGGTTCACATCTGCAAATCGCGGGATCAAGCCCTCTCAGAGCACAGAGGTGAGGGTGTTCGCGTTTAGAGATTGGTGTCTGTGGAAGCAAAACGAGCTGAGTTAGAAAGCTCTGACCAACAGAATTTGATATGAGTTCATAATCTGATTCAGCTCCTAAATCCCGGACTGAGATCCATTGGTGCTAACGTTCCGGTCATAAAGCGTTCTGCAAGTGATTGAGAATATTGAGATCGGGGCAGAAAATAAGGTTTTTGGGCGCCTCGGTTGGAATCTCAATCATTTGGAATATCTCTCACGCAAAAACAAAAGCTGCAGGTCGCAGCAGAAGAGGTGAGCAAGGAATAAAAAAAACTTGCTGTCGTTTCATCGAGCTGTCGGATCAGTTTCTGTGTTCCACCCCTCAAAAGCCATGAAAAAAACACAAACACTATAGGGTTTGGAGGGTTGGAAATCCGCCCATTCGGAACAGTGTTAATTGCTACGTACGATCTTTTTAGCAATTCCTTTTCGCTTACGAAAGCTGCCATCACTGCCGCGCACCATCACCTCTGCGCGCTGGTGCCAATGGCCGCCCCTTAAAGGCGGAGCCAACGGGTCGCCATGTCGTGGAGGCCGATTTCGCCACGAGACATACACGGGTCGCCCTCTGGTGGAGCTTGGTCAAACCCGTCTTTCAAAAGAGGGTCCAGTCGGGCGTACGGGTGGCCAGTCTCCTCAGTGAACATCTGGTCAGGCACTATCTGGTCGTGTTGTTGAAACGATGAATTCCACAAGCACCACACCTTTTGGACCTGTTTTTGCCCGCCAAACACCCCACCATGCCACCAAAAAACATCAAAAAAACATGTGGCATCCACTTGTCTCCGAATTACCACTGCTGATGACAACCTGTGAGTGGCCGCCAGTGAAGCCACCAGTTGCAGGAACAACCCGTGTCTGTGCGTTCCACGACCCAAAAGCACTACACAATACTACTTTACCTCTTGGTCGTCCGATCGCCAATGAGAAATCCGGCGTCTTTGCGGCAGTTGGAACAAGAAATTCAGAGACTTGCAGCAAGGAATTCAGTCAACTTGTTCTACTGACTGCGTCCTTTTTTGCCGTTCAAGAGGTGGGGGGAGTAGGGGTAGCACGTAGCACGTCTTCACAACGAACAACAGTTACAGTAAGCGTGAAGGTCTCGGATCTGGACGCGGTCGAGGAAAAACCAACGAAAAAATCGGTCCGTCCATGCGGCTGCGACCTGGCGAACCTCCAGTGCCTCATGGACTGGACATGGCCCCCGCCATAAAACTGACATCCCCCCCGCAGCTGGGCACGGGAACCCTCTCTCGGACTTGTGTACACTCTTGAACCATCGCAAACTGTGGCAGAATATGACTAGTTCGATACAGCTTCCAACCCCAAAGAAAAGAACTAATTGCAGCTAGCCATTACACCCCACCTCTTTCAGCTGCAAGTCTTGAGGGCAACGGCCCCCCGCTGTCGAGAACTTTGCCTCAGACTTTCACTTTCTCTGCCCCTCTGCCCTCGCGTCGTCAAGAAAAAGCCTCGTCGGTCGTCGGGCGTTCAGCGCAGCAATTGACAAGGAAGGAACACGGAATTGCTGGGAGCTAGCCTTTTCAGGATGCGTCAAGGACCAACAACACTGAAGGATACCCAGCCCCAGATTTACAGTATCCAGATTCATACAGTATTACAGCATGAAGATCCTAGGGGGTGTGACTGTCGATCGATCCAGCTATATCACAACTGGGGGTGTGATCGATCGATCTGGTCGACAGATCGAGGTCCAAAAAGTCCAACTGAACCACCAACAGAGGCTATGACAGTGACCGGTCACAGTCGGACCCGTCACCTGAACCAGCCGGTTCCTGGGAGAGTCGAGTTGAACCCGGGTCCTGACCCACCGACTCCTTCCATGTCTGGGACTCCGAACCCGTACTTCGCACCGAACCCGACCTTACCCACACAACTTGGCCCGTTCACCCGTTGGGACCAGCCCCGAAGCGCAAAGGGACCGACACATCGGTCTCCCTGGAACAACCGGAGCGGATCTCCGGATCTCCGGAGGCACCCAGTTCTGGTGTTCATTCGCTCCATGGTTGGTTGCTCAGCCTTCTCCCCGCCAGTCACACTGGGGTCAACATCATTCAGGTCCCCACAAACACCGCGGCGCCGTCTGCGCGCGGGAACCCGTCTGCCCCGATGCAGGGCCGATCAGGCGATCCGGTCCGACAGAGTCACCTGTTGGGCCATCCCCAGTCACGTCCCAAGTGACGTCCTTTCACAAACAGCACCTGACAGTCAGCAAAAGAACTTGAAGACGGTTTCTCAGGAACTGGATCCACCATGATCCCTAGACTTGTTCACTCAGATCTTACGAGCACCACGTTGGGCACCATGTGAACATCACGAGCCTTGAAAACCCCCCCGGCGCCACCCCGCCACCACGTCTCGCCTCACCGGCAGAAATCGAAGGCCTGAGGACCAGCGAACGCGGGCGCTCCGAACGGGATCGGTCCAACGGATCGGCCGGGAGGGCGGAGGTCAAGGGCGCGCCTGGCCGAGACCTGGATCGTTCCAACTAGGACCAAATGTCTGCCTGTGCGTCCGAATCAGCCAAGTTAGGCAGACATTTGGCATAGTTGGAAGATCCAGGTGGTTATTTTTTATGATGCACAGAGATCAAGTTCGCGTCTTTTCGGCTCCATGCCACGTCCACTCCAACTCAGCGCAATGGCGAAGCGGTGTAGTTGGCCCAGTCACCCCAGGCACTTCCGGTCAAACCATCCTGCATCAATCAAGCACTCTCTGTTCTAGAAGTGACCCACGTTCCATGTGCATCACTCACAACGTTTCATGTCGTTCAAAGCAATAGCAAATACACCAGAATGTTGACTGCGTCAGTGATACTGTAGTACTGCACTTGTTGCAAGAACAAATCACGAAGCAACTCCATTGAAATGAGTAGTTGCGGTCCTGGAAGAACATTCCGATGATAGCCATCATCGC